ACAACCTTCCGTATTCTCCGGCTTATCTGTTTTCTAGGATAAAACTCAATCTCGAACTCAAGGTTCCTCAATAATACCATAGTCAATATCAATCCGGATACGACTCTATTTGTATTCTCAGGTATCTGTTTTACAAGATACAACTCAATCTTGAAATCAAGGATCTGCGTTTGTTTTTAATCTTCCTGACAGAAACAATATGAAGAACTGACGAGGGTCATTCCAGATCAAAATATATTTTCAATAAATGTGGAACTAACATCTACTTTTTTACTCTTAAGAGGTTTGGTCCATCACCGAACTTTAATAATACACTAGTCAATATCATTCGAGATACGACTTTATCTGTATTCTCAGGTATCTGTTTCACAAGGTACAACTCAATCTTGAACGCAAGGTTCCTCAATAATACCATAGTCAATATCAATCCGGATACAACTCTATCTGTATTCTCAGGTATCTGTTTCACAAGGTACAACTCAATCTTGAACGCAAGGTTCCTCAATAATACCATAGTCAATATCAATCTGGATACAAATCTATCTGTATTCGATCTCAGTTATCTGTTTCACAAGATACAACTCAATCTTGAACGCAAGGTTCCGCAATAATACACTAGTCAATATCAATCTGGATACTAGGCTATCTGTATCTGTTTCGCAAGATACAACTGAATCTTGGATTTGAAAATTTTACGAAAATCTTAATTCTTTTGGTAATTTTGAGCATCCATATATCTTCCCTGGGGTCATGTAATGTCCCAAGCAAAATTTTGGCCCTATCGGTTCTGCCTTTTGGATACAAGCAAACAGACAGACAAGCAAAGTATATATAGAAGATAAATAAATAAATAAACAATTTTAGATATTAAAAAGAAAACATGAAAGAATCAGGAGAAAAAGAAAAAGTAAAACAGACATAGTTGTAGGGGGGAAGTTGAGAGGCAAAGGGGGAGTGGAGAGATAAAAGAGAAGTGAGGAGGTAAAGAGTTAGTAGGGAGTTAAAGGGGCAGTGGGGAGGTAAATTTGAAGTAGAGAGGAGTGTTACTGTTGAGGTAAAGAGAAGTAGAGAGGTAAAGAGGGAGTGGGTAAATACGGGATGAATGCTGAGGTAAAAGAGAAGTGGAGAGGTAAAGAGGGAGTGGGGAAATACGGGATGAATGCTGAGGTAAAGAGAGGTAAAGAGGGAGTGGGGAAATACGGGATGAATGCTGAGGTAAACGAGAAGTGGAGAGGTAAAGAGGGAGTGGGGAAATACGGGATGAATGCTGAGGTAAAAGAGAAGTAGAGAGGTAAAGAGGGAGTGGGGAAATACGGGATGAATGCTGAGGTAAAAGAGAAGTAGAGAGGTAAAGAGGGAGTGGGGAAATACGGGATGAATGCTGAGGTAAAAGAGAAATATGGAGGTAAAGAGGGAGTAGGGGGAAGTCCGAGAGGAGTGCTAAGGGAAAAGGGTTCGTGCAGGGAGGAAAATAGAGATTGGGGCAATAATTGTGAAGTAGGGAGGTAGGTGGGAATGGGGAAGTAAAGGGGGAGTGCTCCAAAGTAAATATGGGAATAGGGAGAGGTAAATAAAATGGGGGAGATAAATAATATGGAGTAGGGAGGTAAAGGGGGAGTGGGTTGATAGTTGCAGGGAGTATTGGGTGAGGTAAAAGTGGGGACATTACGGGAGGGGGGGGAGGTAGATGGTTAGGGATACTGAGATACAATGTGTTTATGTCCTGTGTTGTGTACTATATCTTCTTTATCTACTAATCTTCCAGGTTTGTTTAAACTATTAATCTTCCTTCTTCAGATCTTACACAATCCACAGATACAGGCTTTATACCTTCACTCTCCACCTTCATCCTTTGTTTTGTACTTTTCTTCACTTTTGTACGATTTTTTAAAATTCCAATATATATAAAATATACAAAGTTACAGAATTGGGAGCGTTTTATTAGACACTTGTATATATTTCAAATTATTCTCTCCTGAAGTAATTTTTTTCTATATTTTTCAAATTATTCAACCCCCTAAAAGAATTTTTTTCTATATTTTTCAAAATATTCGCCCCTGTTATTGTCAAATTGACCCCTCCCACTTTGCCATTCCTTAAAATTTTCTACCCTGATTAATCTGATTATTTGCCCCTAGATTACTGAATATCTGGCACCTCCCAAGTAGATGATTTGAAGGTATAAGTATAAGAACATCATCTCGACTTCATTTATAAATCTTTTCATCATCAGATCATTCATCATCAAGAATAGCATTCAGAGAATCGGGGCCAAGCAAACAGATAATCCGCTAAATCGGCAGAGTAACCGAAAAATCGACCAAGAAGCTGGAGAATCAGCAGAGTAACCGAAGTATCAGCCAAGTGGCTAAAGAATCAGCCAAATAGCTGAAGAAAAAGTCAAGTAGTTGTAAAATGAGTCAAGTAGCTGGAGAATCAGTCCAGTTGCAGTAGCTGGAGAATCAGTCAAGTAGCTGGAGAATCAGTCAAGTAGAATAAAGGTTGAATAAAAGAAAGTAAAAGAATGGGATAAGGAAAAGGCGGAGGTGGAATCTGTGGGAAAAGGGGTGTGAAAATAATATTTACTTAATCCCCATATAGTCCATAAATAAAGGAGGGCAAGCACCTTAAGTGTGATATGGGCGGGGCACTAGCTGCAGGCCAGCCAGGTGTAGAAGAGGGTGTGGCACACTATACTATTCAATATAACGACTTCACACATACTTTGATTCCTCATTAGTTGTCCAAACATTTTTCTAACTCGTTAGAAGAATAATGTAGCGAACTGACACTCCTCTTCCGGTTAACGAGTCAAATTTCTCCTGGCGCCTTCAACTCTAGAAATACCGTCCTTAAATTGATTGTTTGTGAGTTAACTCTAATTACAGAACTAAATATTCTTGATCGTGTCAAGATACAGTGAGAACCAGAAAACTGTGGAATAGCAAGACACTAAATATTCTTGATCGTGTCAAGATACAGTGAGAACTAGAAACCTGTGGAATAACATTAAAGCAATAATTAAGTGTATTTGATGCTTTTACAACAAAAATAGTTTTACAACGAATTAACTCACTTTTTAAGTGAAATTGGTCTGTTCACACTGCACAATTTTTGTGTCTTATGTTCAGTAGACTATTTAAAGTATTAACTTGAGTCTAAAAGTCGTCTTCTGTTCTAGAGTTTTCTGGTTATCACTGTATGACATATCTTTCAAAGGAAATTTTTAGCTATATGTAGGAAAGGAACCTATAAACACAAGACCCTAAAGTAATTTTCCAAAACAGGATACTCCTTCCGTAAAGGTGATATTTGACTGTAAGTTTTCTAAAGCGAAATTTTTTATTCAAGTTTTTAAGATATCTTAATTATTCTTAAACCCTAAGTGAATAGACTTATATATTTACACTTCTTTGTAGCAGCAGCGCTCGGCCCTCGAGTCCTGGCCTCGGCGCGTAACGTAAGTTGGCAGACCATATTTTAAAAAGCCCAATAAAATTAAAGCCTTGCATCAGAGAATCTTAAAAATACAATTCCTAGAAATGGGAAAATATGGAGTCGTCCTTCATTAATTTACTTTGAATCAAAAACGGAAGAAAACAAGAAAATTGATTTCATTCGTTTGGCTTTGTATTCATCCAGCCATCCTTTCCATCCATTAAATCTATTAAATCCATCCAATCTATCCAATATATCCATCCTTCTCTCTATTTATCTAGGACCAGATCCTCTGCCCTGTAACCTCTGCAGAATGTTAACTAACTTTTTGTAGCATTTAAACACGCACAGACAAACCCGGAGGTTAACAGGCTGACAGCTGAAAACTAGACAGCTAGACGCACAGACAGATGAAAGGACAACAAAACTAGACAACATGTCAAATTGTCTTGTTGCTTGGTTGTCAATCTGGGAAGACTACGTGCACAAGAGACTGGTTGCACGTCTAAAACATTTCCGATATCTTTGCAATCTTGAGCATTTCAACCCTTGATTATGTAGCAGAATTCATAATATAATATAATATAATATAAAAGGTCTACGATATGAGATTGTAAAGATTTATTTGGAATGTGAGAGGTTTGAGTAAGCAAAATATTGTCTTTATGTCAATTTGTCTATGTGTCTCCATGCCTAGTCGTCTAGTTGCACAACTGTCTATAAATGTCTGACAGTCTGACAGTAAGACAATTAGACAGAAAGCTGGTTTTGTAAAATATATGATGACAGAGAAACAAAAGGATTGAAGGATTGAAGAAGAAAAGAAGAAACATTGAAATTTGAAAAACCAACAAAAGCGTAAAACAATGGACTCAAGACTGGGTAGTGGGTATCTATTAGCTGGGAGGGGTGGGGGGGGGGCATGCATTGTGAACTCAGGTGATATTTAGGTCAAATTAAGGCACACAACCTTTTGAATAGGCGGGCTATATGTATATACATGGTAGCTAAGGCGGGCTATATGTATAAACATGGTAGCTAAGAAAGTCTAAAGAACGCAAACAGGATTTGAAATTCCATCATGAATCAAGAGATTTCAACGTGTGGAAGACTGATTTTTGTTTAGAGCCAAACTAAATCTTGTTTTCTTTATGAAAGGGGGGTTGAAAAATAACTCACAAATATTCAAGCCTCAAAGGGTTATATTTAATAAACATGGAAAATGTACTCGTTTAATCTTAGAGCCAAACTAAATCTCGTTTTCTTTATGAAAGGGGGGTTGAAAAAAAACTCACAAATATTCAAGCCTCAAAGGGTTATATTTAATAAACATGGAAAATGTACTCGTTTAAACTCAGTTGTACTTTTAAAGTTTATATCACCATTCTTTAAAAAAGTCATACAGACCTTTTAAAAGTTTTTTTACAAAGTCATTTACAAAAGACACATATTGTTTCATATATGATATTGATATCCATTTTAGGAATAATTCGGTTCAAATCATCTCTCTGAAGTCCTATTTTTTTAGGAAACTCAATAATATCTTTTTAAATAACATTTCATTCTTACTTCAAACTTTTATTCTGACAAATGACTTAAAATAAATTAATACATAAGGTTACAAAGTATCACATCTATATTTGGCAATTAATAAACAATATTTCTACCAATGTAACCTAACCTACAAGATAATATAACCCTTGCCGGGGCTAAATCATTCACACCATATTACAGTGTCTCAATGGCTTGAAATTTTCAACAAAAATTCACTAGTTTCGGCAAATTGTTCGATTTTTGTTAGTCGCCGATTTCAGTTTTTTGGACTGTAGCCTTGCAGAGAAGGATGAGTGGAGAGGGTCAGGTAGGGCTAACTGGACTATTCGGCGGTTATTGGGATCACTCGGAATCCAGGTTGCTAGAAGGGATCACCCGGAATTCAGGTTTCTAGTAGGGATCACCCAGAATCCAGGTTGCTAGAAGAGATCACCCGGATTTCAGGTTGCTAGAAGGGATCACCCGGAATTCAGGTTTCTAGTAGGGATCACCCAGAATCCAGGTTGCTAGAAGGGATCACCCGGATTTCAGGTTGCTAGAAGGGATCACCCGGAATTCAGGTTGCTAGTAGGGATCACTCAGAATCCAGGTTGCTAGAAAGGATCACCCAGAATTCAAGTTGCTAGTAGGGATCACCCGGATTCTAGGTTGGTAGGGTCTAGTTGTGTGAGGACTAAGGGTAGGGTTCAGTATGAAACGGGTTGACCCCAGAGTTTTTGTATTGCTAGGGATCATCCCAGAACTAGATTACACGGAGGGTTCAACCTATATCCAGGTCATTGGTAGGGCTCACCTACTCCTTAATAGCTTGTAAGGATCACACGGAAGAACAGGATTCCACCATCCCTCGAGAAAACACGTTGAACCAGGGAAACAAATCAGAATTTTAACATTTCTATTCTCCGGAGTTTGGTTTGGTTTGGTTTAGGTTTAGGTTTGGTTTGGATTTTTATCCGCATCCAATATAAGAAGATTTGCTGACGGCGAGCTCCGCCATCGACCAGATCCTGGGTTTGGAGGGAGGGAGGGGGACACCGTCCTTGACGGTAGGTTGGGTTAGTTCTCTCATATCTCCAGGTCCTACTACCCAACTACTTCTTTGGTCTTCTAGATCTGAAAAAAAAAATTAAATTAAATATTGAATAATATGATTCTTTATTCTGCCTACCATCTACAATCTACAATCTGCTGATTTTAGTTCAACTTCTACTTTTATATATCTTTTATTCTCAGTCGTTCGTTTCCTTGGTCTTTTAAATATTCAATTTGTATCCCCTGATTTAAGAATAACTTTTCGATCTCCTTTTTCTAATTATCCCCCCCCCCCTCCCTCCATCCGTTTGCATCTACCCCTCCCCTTTCTTCCTTTAAACCATCTTTACCTTCCCCCCCCCCTCTCATGTCCAGTTAGTATTTATCGGTCTGGTATATAGGAGGCGCCAGGACCCCCCCCCCCTCCCCAACCGTTACCAAACTCATTATGTCATTACTGTTAGAGATGAAGGTGAATAGGGGGGGAGGGGGGTCAGGCGGGATAAAATTTTGTTTTACATTTTTTAATGGTCTAAAGTAGCTTTTTCAAATAAAAATTTATCTATTTTCTATGTTTGTTATTCATTCTGAAATTTTTACTCATCACCCCCCCCCTCACTTACTAGGTGGATAATTGGAGCAAGCTAGCTTATATAGGCTAATTTAAATATCTGGGAGTAATCGCAAAACCAATACCCCACCCCTCCCCCCATGTTTGCCCCCATCTTGCCAAATCAAAGAATAAAAACCGGCAACATCTTAGTGATAATTTAGCTTCGAGCCATAGAGGGGTAAACCAAGAGAACACCGCGGCAAGGGGCAATAGAGATGAAAACCAATAGAGAACTCATCATCAAACAATTCCGACTTTAACACATTAAACACATTTCCCCTTTTCCATGTCAATTATTTGAACAATAATAAGGTAGATATCAAATTTTTCCTTAGATATGTGCAAAGTACAACAAATATTAAATGTTGTACATAAAGCAATATAAAAAACTCCAGCTATTAATGAATTTAATTAATATTTGTAATGTACAACTTGTCGTAAAGGTATATATATATATATAAATATATTTTGCTAGTTTAGAATTTCAAGTGTACACAAGGGACAGATAAACTTGAAACCTACACACAGCTCATTTTAATTTTCAACTCGACATTTAGCATATTAACAGCTCTAGACTTTGCCAGTTAACTTTATGCAAATCGGCTAGGTACGAAATTGAACATTGGTCCTAATATCAACGTTTTCAATTTAAATCCCATGTTTATGGACTTTCCCTGTGCGATAATAATATCTATCTATCTATCTATTCTTTTATTCATATATACATAACTATCGGCTATTCATAATTATTTTTAAACTATCGACTATCATCATCCATATATTTATCAATCTATTTTTTATCTTTCTATCTATCTATCTATCTATCTATCTATCTATCTATCTATCTATCTATCTATCTATCTATCTATCTATCTAATCTATCTATCTATCTATCTATCTATCTATCTATCTACCTGAATGTGATTTCTCCTCCTTGAATGAATGTTCCTGTAGATCCTCCTCATCTGAGACATCAACATCTTCATCATTTAATCCGTTCTTAGGCTCCCAGGTCATCTTATTCTCCTTCTTCAACCTTCTTCGTGCATTAGCAAACCAACAGCTAACCTAATATATATATATATATAAATTAAACCACCAGCTAACCTAATATATATATATAAATTAAACCAACAGCTAACCTAATATATATATATATAAATTAAACCAACAGCTAACCTAATACATATATATAAATATATTTAAATTAACTAGGCGAAGAACTTATTCAATGTAATAATCATTTAAAGGCTTTTATAGTTAAAATCAATTATAAACTAAATCAAAATCAATTGCTATGTTTGAGTAAAAATTTATTACAAAATTAATGAAAATCAATTGGAAAGTGTGAATAAAAATCAATTGAAAATTGAGTAAAAATCAATTGCAAAATTGGAGTAAACATCAATTACAAACTGAATGAAAATCGATTGAAAAATTTGAGTAAAGCTCAATTGCAAAGTTTGAGTAAAAAATAATTGCTATATGTACGGATTTGTTTTCAAATATGGCATTTTTATAAACGTGTTATTTAAAAAGAATTTTCAAAGTAACCTGTCAACCAAGAACCCCCCCCCCCCCAAATATATATTGGTAAATCTCCCTGCCAAATTTAAACATATAAATCAATGAATCCCTTGCAGAGAGAATAATGCGTCAAATTTCCCACTTTTAAAACAATTCCTTTGATTTATTATGACCCAGGTCCGCTCTCTTGAATAAATTGATTTTAAATTCTTATCAGGGTGCAGAATACCTCAACAAATACGATATTTTAAAACAACATAAAGGGACTGATCCCTAAAACAATTCCACATACCTGTGTCAGAGTCATCTTGGATATTATAGCTAACATGATCTTCTCCCCCTTGGTAGGGTAGGGGTTCTTCTTGTGCTCGTTCAACCAGGCCTTTAGGGTCGCCGTAGACTCACGTGTCACGTTCTTCCTTGTCGCCGCTAAACCGTAGGCGCCACCGTAGCCATAGGCTGCAAGCGAGGATGTGTCATAAGGATAATAGCCAGCGGCTGAGGCTGCAAGGCTACTAGAGGTCCAAGCAGCCATTTCTGCTGCGTCGCTGCTATTCTTTAAACTGTATGGATTTGCCTGAAAACACAAAATAAATATATTTTTTGCCAAATAAATTGTAAACATTTTCTAAAGATAAATAATAATAGTTTTCTTACCAAGGGGTTGTAAAAATTTTCCATGGAAAGGGAAGAATAAGGATTTTGTTCACTGGAAGAGTATGGAAGACCGGGCATGCCCGCCCCCAGGGCCATCATTGAGGAACCAAGACGAGGGTACGCGAGACCAAGGTTCGCGTGTTCAGGCAGGAATTGTCCTGGATCTAGATTATGTGGGATGCGTGAGTCTGCTAGGCTCACCGGAATCCTGGAAATGGTATCGGAAAGGGAGGTGGGGATTCCACGGTGGGCGGGGAGGGGGGATACAGCCCGCCCCTCCTCGCTAGAACACACAGGGGAGAGGGATGGGTTGGATATATTGGGAGAACTGGCTGGCACTCCAGTCAACATCTAAAAAAAAATAAAAATTAGATATTTCCTGAATGCCAAAAATGTTTATTAATAATAGATTTATGTGTATGTTGTCTATAATTATTGTCAAAAGTCGGCATCGATACACTTAATTATATAATCATTTTTAAATCATGTTTAAAATCAATGTTTTGGCCAGTTTTTTGCTAAAATGCATGAAACGCTTCAGCATGAAAAATGTGACTCGATCAATTACTCCGTGAAATCCAAAATTTGGTTTTCATAAACATGAAATTGACGTGAATCAGTGTTATAGTTTTGTGCTGTTGTAGTGGCGGCATTTGATTCAAGAGTGGCGGCAATTTTTTTGAAAAATCCGCGAAAGCAGAGACATCTGTCGGCTGCCGGTGGAACTCGCCTTGTTTAATAAAGCTAGATCCAGGAAAATGTGTTTGCGGATTTTAAACGATGCTGACATTTAGTTTTGGCGCTTGAGCCTATGCCAAGTTCTCGTATAATTAAATTCAAGTCAGGACTGATAATTCCACACTAAAATGTCAACAAATATTTGTGTTTTAACCTATGTATACGGATTCAAAACATTTCTTATATGTTTTAGCTAGGTGCTTAAAAACGTGCATTCTCTAATTTGACTAAAAGATTAAACTTTAAAATTATGCAATTAGGGTAGATTTCAGTATGTGCATTGTGCATGTTTTACCATTTTATTTAAAATAATAAAAAGCTAATTTTTAAAAACCCGTTAAAAATATATTTTCTGAAAAATACAAGACCCCCCCCCCCCATATTTACTGTGCAGTGCACACACACCTATAGATTCCGTTGAAATCATTAATAGTACAAGAATTCTTCAAATCATCAGTGTAAACCTTAACTTTGGGGGAAATATAAAATCTTTATGTCAATTTAGAAGTCGCCAAGCAGGATTTTAACTGACATTTTTCACAATTTTAATCAACTTTAGGGTCACGTTAATCTTTTATTAACTCCATGCTATGTTTGAAAGTAAGAATGTATAAACTGAAAAATGTAAATATTTATATTTTCAGTTTGGTTCGTATAGGTTTATGTTTATGGGTGTATGGGTAGACGTATGTTTTTGACAGGTTTATGTTTCTGCATCATTTGAATATTGCCCCTCCCCCCTCCCTAGCTTCATTACATCAGTGCGCACCCCCCCCCCCCTTCAACCCGTTATGCAAATGAGGTATGAAGATATATTAAGGAAAAAATTAATTCACAACCCTGAACCATATTTTACAAATAGCGAGAACTGGGCGGGGTTATAAGTTTGGAGGACTAGGGGTAACAAATATCATAAAAGAAGCAAAAGTATTTAAGAGGGGGGGATGGCAAAAAATTGCAAAAACGAAGTTGTGCGAATGTTTCTAAAGTATTAAATGAAAAAATAGGATTTTATGCAACACAAGTTTGAAAAATGTGAAAATATTTTTAAAAGCTTTAAGGAGACGATAACGTAACAAAGTAAAACTTCATAAGATTTAAAAATTACATTGAAAATTGGAAAAAGACTGAGCTCTGGCCACAAACTATGACTTTTTAATTTGTAAATCTTTCCAATCCGATGTCGTAGACCTTTGATGTTTCTAACTATGAATTCTGTTAAATCAAATCGTCGAAAATTAAAATATTAAAGGTTTACACCATCAGGGTGCAAAAATATAAAGATTAGAATCTTTCATTTTGTTGCAAGAAAATAGTTTATTTATAATTTATTAAAAACTAGTAATTCGGGAGGATTGTTTTGTAGAAATAGTAAAAAAATATTGTTTTTAAAAAACAAATTCTTTCTATTTGTAAAAAGCTGCAGAGAAATGAAAGCTTAAAATTAGATTTATAAATTAGTATTTCTGAGTTTTATATGTTATAACATTTATTTAAGTTTAAATTAAAATTTTTGCTTGATTGCATTGTTAAAGTAGAAATGTAAATTTAACATGATTATATTAAATGAGGAACATGAAACTTTTCTATGTTTAGCTTTTCATTATAATTTATACATAAAATATAAATGAACTTTTTAAAGGTAAAAATCTTATAGATTGAGCTTTTTTTTTAAATTCAAGCAATAGCAAATTATGAATTAAATGAAAAAGTTAGCTTTAAGGCCTTTTTATACTCAATTCTGATTTTTTTAAACTTTAAAATTTTTCAATCATTTTGAGCTAAGTAAATACACAAAACCCATCTTTACAACTACAAAAAAGTAAAGATTAAAATTTTGATAAAAAGATGAATTTAAACTGAAACGAAAAAATTATTTTTAAGCTTTGAAACTAACCTGAGAAGATGTAGGTAGTGCCGAACTATAACTAAACGCAAGATGTGACATATCTCTAAACTCAAGTCTTTATCAAGCACAACCATTCATTGTAGATTTATGCAGGCGCAGTGCTGAGAATGTATCTAAGTTTAGATCCTTATCTTATAGTCTATCACCTTGATTACTGTGCAGGGCAAGTTGGCTATTAAGAGACTAGTCGACGACTACGGCTGTGACATATAGCTGTGCTCTCACATGAAAACACTCGTCCCAATTATCACAAAGATGTATTACAAATGTTGGACAAGGAAACATGACCATTACACTGCTGAGCGACTAGAAACCGTGTCGGGCTGCGTGTGTCGCGGCCCGCGTGTACCCAGCCTAGATTGGTGCCGCCCGACTTATCAGCGCCGTTTTACACTCGCGCATTTTCACAACAGCGAATCCAGAGCAGTTTTGTCCAGGCCGGACGGTGGGAGTCCGGGCCGGGCGGGCGGGGGCCTCCGACCCGGCCTGGCATGTCTAGCTGATGAATCTTGACGCCTTCACACATAATGAGCAGGGTTCTGCATATTTAGCAAGTTTTTCTATTTGTTTCTTCCATCTTCCAAATTCTAAGTCCAACTAGCTGCCAAATATATTTAGTGTAATCTGTGTTAGCTGATAGTAGGAAAGTTAAACACACACTTAAGCTGAATATAAGACACATCACTCAGTTAACTAACTAACTATCTATCTATCTATCTACTCTTAATTAAGACTCATGAGGAATTAAGAGAATATATACCTTGATTAATTGATTTTAACTTTTAAGTAAAATCTATACTTAATAAAACAAGAATTAGTGAAACATTATAAATTTAATTAATAATACACTATTTTGTTTAAAATCATATATTTCAGCTTGGAAATCTTTTCATCCAACAAAAAAATGCCTGGTAATTTTAAATCAAGGGCAAAATCTTGGTGACAGCTCTAATCAGGACCAGTCTTGATATATATATCGCTGTGGATGTTCGAGTTTTAGTAATAAAAGATAATTTATAGACATTTATATTTTTTAAAGAACTTATTTTACCTTTTTAAATGTTTGTATATATCTGTAAATGTCAAAAAATATTAAAAAGAACAAAATATATAATATTTTAGCATTTCAAATATACACATATATTCACACAGTTATATATATAGTTAAACCAAGATTATTGATTGATGAGGATCCAGCGATCTGAAACAATTTGTATTGATAAATATGAAAACTGAGACGCTGTTTTGATTATTGCTTTATAGTTATAAATATATATATATATATACATTATATAGGTATTTAATATAGGAAATTATAACTGGACTCATAAAAATCCAATGATACTTTTTTAAACGAATTTCTGAAATTATTTTTTTAAACTTAAAAAAGATAATTTATAACTATATTAGTTTGTACTCTAGGTATCTGTGAAATATATCTTTACTAAAAATGTTTATAACTTTTTGATTTGTTTGCTAAGAAAGACATTAACCCCCCCCCCCCCCTCTGATATAACTAGAGAGCGGTGAGACCTGTAACCTGACAATTGTTTGTGTTCAATGTTTATCACTAGCTGGGTAAAAACTTAAAGTAACCGATATCAGCAAAAGATAAAGGTTATTATATATCCAACAAACGCTTTCGAGTTCTCAAAACAAAATCAAATAAAAGTATATTAGTGTTATCTATAATATTTATCATAGTCGTAATTATCTTAATATAAAATTTCCATCAAAAGTTTATGAAATTCGAGTTTTAAAAACTCACTTTGTTTTTAAATTAAACTTTTAATGGGAAAAGTTTGTTTTCTAACTCTTAGGTATATAATGGAGGAATTAAGAGGGCTCAAAGTCACAGTAGTAAACTAAAGAGAGAAGTGAAATCTAAAGCATGGTCTCTAAAAATTTGTTTAATGTGTGGGGGGAAGGGTGGGGGGGGTGGCCTTGATAGCACACAAAGATGATAAAACATTACCTAAGTTTTCACTTCTTAAAAAATTGCTTTTGTTTATTATGAATAATTTACATTACATTTTTGGGGTTTAAAGTGAGTGACTGTCTATGTAAGGTAGTCGAACTGAGTATGCAGTGTTGTGGAAAACTTCTTTCGGATTCATTTGAGATATATTAAACTTTTTAAATATCTGTAAATCCTGATTTTGAGCGCAAACTCGACGTTCAAAACTCCTACTTTGGGGGTGGATACGTTTTCAGAAGTTTTAGATGTGTCAAATGAATCCGAAAGAAGTTTTCCACAACACTGCATACTCAGTTCATCTACCTTACATAGCCGGTCACTCCCTTTAACCCTTAAAAAGAGTATTTTTTTCTTTTTTGGTACACTTGTGTAAAATGGGGATTTTTAAATTTATTTCATTATTATTCGTTTATTTTTCTAATATGAAATGCACTTTATGTTTTTACAAGAATTAGAAATGGTGTAATAATGAAACACGCACCTCTGCCCCTTTAGTAAAAGTAAATTCAACCTATTTGAAGTATAAAGTTTGACCACGTCAACCTTGTTGCACCGGCTAGTCCTGTCCATAGAGCTAGGTACAGTACAAACTAGGACCGGAAAAGTTGACCCGGCTCGGAAATTCAAATGTACTACAGCTGCCCGTAGAAACGCAATTTCTATAAAACTGTTATTAAAACTAAACCTTAGGTTTTAAAGTAAACAATCGGTTTTACTTTTTAAATATTTTAAATTTGAGCTTTTAATTATATTTAACATTGAGCTAATTAAAATTTAGCTTTGTAAATTGTAATTATTAGATTAAAATGGTGGTGAAACAAAATTTTTGAATAGCACTGCATACAATCCTAAAAACTGGCTGTTTCGTATAAATATAATTCAAACCAAACCGGCTTTTCGGTTAAAAATGCATGGTTCAGCTATATGAATTGAATATAGTTTTTTTTATCCATTTATTAAACATTTCTTTGACATTTAGAAGGTTTTATAAGAATCATTAAAGATTGAAGTTTGCATCTATGATTAGAACTGAGTAAATTTATGCAAAAATATAATTCTGAAACAATAGTTCGTCGTGTTGTAACAAACGATATTATTGTTAAAGTTAAAGCAAACGTTAAGAGAAAACAATTTTGCAAACAAACGCAAAAACGCAACGCCCATCTCTATCTAGCAAACATTTAATCTAGAATCCGTCATTTTCTCTACCCATTGTTCCTATGTATGCATGACTATGTTTCATGCTTGAAAAGTATAAATTTTGTAATTATATCTTTCGGCAACTTTATACCAGGCCGCAGAATCATTGCAGCTTTAGCAATTTCATTAACACTGTTTACAAAAGACAAAAATCCATTAATTTTTGCATCAGTTTGGCATGAAATCCACGGTTTATATTTCTGCCCGCTGAGTACTCCATACAACTGTGTACAGCCCTCCAGCTGTTCATGGGTCTTGGAGAAACTTTAGAATTCGTGAGACGAGTCGAGGGTTTTTCTTTTTTTCAGAAATTTATCGTTGGCAGTTTTTTTTCTGAAGAGTAGTTTACTGTACACACAGGTCACTTTTAAGTTTATCACATGTAATGTTAGTAAAAAGGTTCTTTAAAAAATATTAATAAATAATATGGATGAAAATATTGTATGTATTTCAAAATGTATAAAACTATATTTGAACTATAAGTAATACAACGTAGCTTCAAAATTGTGCTTTAATGTTAAACAATAACCTTAGCTTTGAACTTATTTTACATATGTAAACCTATTCTTATCCTTGTGGACATATTCTTATCCTTGTAAACCTATTATTATCCTTGTAAACCTATTCTTATCTTTGTTAACATATTCTTATCCTTGTAAACCAATTCTTATTTTTCTAAAGCAATTGTTATCTTTGTAAACCAACTCTTATCTTTGTAAACCTATTCTTATCCTTGTAAACCTATTATTATCCTTGTAAAACAATTCTTATTTTTCTAAAACAATTGTTATCTTTGAAAACCAATTCTTATCTTTGTAAACCTCTTCTTATCCTTGTAAACCAATTTTTATCTTTGAAAACCAATACTTATCTTTGTAAACCTATTCTTATAATTGTAAACCTCTTCTTATCCTTGTAAATCTATTCTCATCATTGTAAACCTATTCTTATTCTTGTAAACCTATTCTTATCCTTGTAAACCTATTCTTATCCTTGGTAAGCATATTCTTATCCTTGTAAACCTATTCTTATCCTTGTAAACCTATTCTTATCTTTGACGGGTTTTATCACAATATATCACTATTTCTAACACTCCACTAAATTATTCTATGTCTTCGGTAAGAATACTGCAGATTCTATTTACTGTAGCTTAGTTTAGGGTGTTTCATGTGTTCAAGTTTTGTAAGTCAGTTTTTTTCAATACCTTTTTTAAAGTTTGATCTTTTCCCGTATTCTCATATATATTTTTTTATCTTTAACCTTTTTTCTATCAATAATTGACTCAAAATTGTCCTAGTAAGAAAATTTCACGCTATAGGATATAAATCTTACATTTTTCAAATGATAATTCCTTTTAATGAAAAGCTATTGAAAAGAAAAACTATTTTAAATATGTAAATAATATGTAACTAAACAAATTCTCAATTTAGACTTACAAGAACCAAAAGCAAACTTGATTGATTGCCCATGATAACCTTTTTGTTCTCATCTTTTCCGAAAAAAATGAGTTGTGTTTGAAAAATACAATATTTTCACACAAATTATGCAAATTTTATGTTTTCTAAATATGTGGTGTACTGAATGCCAGATATATAGACAACTATAAAAGTTATGCATCAGATCTTAAGACCGCGTCGAATTTGAAGTGTCTCACGACTTAGGTTTTGAGATTTAACTCACCTACTCCCTTATACTTTTTTGTAGCCTTGGATATATTCATTTCAAAACTACGTTGTGCTTGTTTCTAATTAAAAAGGTCAGGAGCTTAAAATTGGTTTTGTATTAAAGCTTGCTTATTTTAGTTTGCAGTCAATATAAGACATGTTTTGAACCAACCCCAAAATCGTTAAAGAATTAAAAAGAAACCTGTGTTGGCTCTACCCCATATACTGCTTGTAAAAAACAAACTTATCTCTGGTTTGAATGTTATATGGTCAGTTTATAAAGCTCGTGAAGCATACGTTTATATATTCGTTACAACAAGAGGTTTGAATACAACAATATATTTGGATAAATAAGATAAGTATAAGCATGTTATCCTAGGAAAGATAGGCCTGGTATCAGGCTACTCCTAGTCCCTCCATTAGTTGTCTGTATATACATTCCTCGGGACATAATCTTATCATACCAAACCTTGTTCTACACCCTCACTCGTGTATTCTACATAACAAATATTCTTCACTACTTTATAAATAAAAAATAAACTTTTAAAATTGAGTCCAAACATTTTCTGCTTAATTTCTGAAATTTTTACTATGAAAATTTTGATAGGTTTATCCCTGGTGAAATCCATGTTTTTGGGGCTAGTATTGGGACTGGAGGCTGCGCGGAACATCTGATTTCGACCAATCAGAGACAAGAAAGCTAGGA